TATTGACAAAATATTTATACAGATAGATAATGATAGGTTCTGTTTTGATTGGTGGCCTTTCATATACATGTATATAAATTATAAATTTAAAAATTAGAACCCACTAAGTCAGTTATTTTTACATATTTTAGCTTGTGCACAAAAGACTTGCTCCACAAAATATTTGTTGACTGGAGATTGGAGCCTAAGATCTATGGATTGGACCTAACCCCCGCAACAACAGGGCAACGAGGAAGAAAAGGATGCCACATCTGACGAAAAGGTTAATGGCCTGTAACTTCTAAGTCGAACCATAATAGAAATCTATATGATAAAATTTGTATGGATGTATCCAAAATGCTTATGATTCTGGGAAGTGAAGGGGGGGGGGGGTGAATATATGTATATTACACCTTTGAAAATATCCATTGGACACAACAAATTATTTACATGATAGTAATAAGCAGCTAGCTTCATTATGATGTCATTCCGAAGAATAGGGAATAGTTTATTAAGATTTATTATACAATATACAATTATGGACTGTTTAGAAGGGAGGACATCACCAATTATCAGTCTGAGTAGGGTTGTCAGCCGGAGGGTCCTTGCGCTCGAGGGTGACAACCCTACTCAGACCTGATAATTGGTGATGTACTATCTTTCTATCTCTCGATACTACTTGCCTTCAAATGAGTACTCTGAGTAGGGCGCGCAGCTGGTTAAAGATATAAAAAAAGTAAGAAAGAAGTGAATTTCAATGCGTTGAAAAGGAAACAGTATTACGTTATTAGTGAAGATAAACGTTTAGAAAAACAGTACTTATAGTTTAAAAGATATAAAAACACTATAATATAATTAAGGTCTGGGTGATTCAGTTTGCTCACTTCCAGTTTGAACTGTTCGACACTTGCAGAAAACACTGCCCGGCAATCTGTTCCACTGAACTATTGTAAGAGGAAGAAGAGATTGTTGTACGACATTTTTTGTAGTTTGTATTGTCGAAATGTGAGGGAATGCGATGAACGGGTAGTCCTACTTGGGGGAATGAACTGAACTGAGGGGATGGCTACTAGTCCATGCTGCTCTTCATGTTTCTATAAGTACAAGCCTTGCGTCTGCCTTTCTTTGTTGTAAGCTTCGCCAACCTAGGGTTTGTTGCATATATGAGACAATTGATATTCTTCTAAAATCCGACATCACCCACCATGCAGGTCTGCGCTGTACAGCCTCAACTTGGTTAATAAGTAACCAAATGAGAGTCCCAAACGCTGGCAGCATACTCAGAGAATTGGGACATACCACAGCTTTGTATGCTGCTGACAGAAGCTGCTGGTTCCTGGTCGGTATATTTCAGCGTAAGAAGCCAAGGGAGCTGTTGGCTTTGTTTGTAACCCGACTGATGTGCTTACTCAAATTCAGGTCATCCGATATATAGACACCCAGATACCGAGCTGATGAGGTAGTCTCTAATACCTAACCACGAAGTATATACATGTAGTTGGTACAAATTGGGTATTTGGATGTCGTTACATGGATAACCTGACACTTACTTGGGTTGAATTCCATGTCCCACAAGGTCTCCCAGTTCTCTAGTTGCTTAAAGTCCTCTTGGAGCATTGACTGACATCCCTGTCCATCCATAGTAATGTAGATGACAGTGTCATCTGCGAAGAGTCTAACCTGCGACTTCACATGCTCCGGCAAATCGTTAATATAGGCGAGGATAAGGATGGGACCAAGGACAGACCCCTGGGGGACTCCAGATGTAATGGGGATGGATGTGGAGAACTCGCCATCTACCTCTACCCTCTGGGAACGGTTGCTGAGGAACCCCTTGATCCATGCTAGGTTTCGGCCTCGAACACCATACTCATGTAGTTTAAAAAGTAATTTGTTGTGTGAGACCTTGTCAAAAGCTTTGCTGAAATCGAACAGGATCAAATCGGTTTGCTTACCGTGTTGGATGTTACGGGCAAGCTCATTTACTAGCATCACCAGCTGGGTTTCGCAGCTCCGTCGCTCCCTCAATCCATGTTGGAGATCAATGTAAAATGTCTTACCAAGTTTGAAGTTATAATATGCTCCATAGTTTTGCACAGTATACATGTAAGGGTTATCGTTCTGTAATTAGCCGGGTTTGATCCCTTCTTAAATATTAGATGAGCACCCGCAAACGCTGGAAACTGAATTTATATATAGTTACCTTTTACAACAGAAAAGATATTGTAATTGTAAATTGTAGTTTTTATTGAAAGAATACAGCCTTAAAGAAGGAAGAAATGTCTTGTTCAAAATCCCGCAAGAAGTAGATGTACGTCACCACCCCCACCCACGGTTTTTTTTTTTTTTTTTTTGAAAACCTGAAAATAGAGATTTCTCCACAGCCTCTTGCTAATACCTGCCACTTAGCAATTCCAAGGACCAAAGGGTATTTCTAGCCACTTGGCTAAACAGCCGCAACTTATCAAAGCTTATATAAATGCCACTTGGTTCATAGCCACTTGTCTAGTATACCCGTCAACTGGGTAAAGCAAAGGTTTTGCCAATTGACATATTCAACAATTTACACTTGTCAGTAACTCGTCATCAACTTACATTCCTCGCTGTCAGAATATTCCAAATTTTCTTAATTGGACATTAATGTTACGATTTACTCAAATAGCCATTTGTCTTCTTATATAAACCTTGTATTAGTGGCTTTCCCGTCAACAACATGTTTCTAATAATTTCCAAGCATACTTTGACCAAACTAATGTTTTCATTGTATTCTTATAACTTTATTTGTTGTAAAACTATTTAATCACAGCGTCCGTCAATATTGAGATCGGTGATTGACGAAAATAATTTGCATTATTCGCTTTTTAATCGGTTATCACAATTTATTTCTTTTATATCATTTGAATTAAGTTTTGATTGAATAATTCAGTGATGACATTTTATGAAATAAATAATCGATCGTTTGTTGTCAGTTTCATTAAAATTTGCCAGTAGCCTAGATCCGCCAACCGGAAATTTCACCATACTCACGTTGATGCTATTTCATGGCTGTTTTCAGAAAATTGAAGTAGACTTTTAATTTTATGTACGATACTTGCTATCCGAGTGAAATCTAAATAGAGTTTACGGACATCATCTTGTATGTAGTGTATTATTAGAGGAGTAAATAAGAACTCTAGTGCACCCGTTTCGGTGTTTATTTGCAAAATTTATCAATTTCTAAGTATAGAAGGGACTAACATTAGTGGTGCACTGGGTAATGTACCTGTATCATATGAGAGCTGAAAAAGGATTTGGATTATTGAGCTTACCTCATTATGCAGTACTTTTAGTAAGATGGTTGGGATCTGATCAGGGCCAGCCGCTTTGTCGGTCTTCAGGTTTTTCAGCAATTTTTCTATACCCTCTTTGGTTACCTGTATTTCAGGCATGTGGATTCTTGCTGGGGAGGGTTTGTCAGTAAAAGAGGTAGACTCGGCTGGGTGGGTGGTACTGATATGTTGGTTACTCACCTCCATGTTACATAGCTGGGAGAGGGAAAGAGGAGTTTTGTGGCTAAAAACCGACTGAAACTGCTTGGAGTTTACTTCTGACTTAGAGACCTGTTTCTCCAGGATACCAAGGATGTTGTTCACATACCTATGACATGAAAGTCTTATTTGTTGCTGGACTAGATGTTTAGTACTTTTATAATGGTGTTTATCTTCTGGTCTTTTTGTTCTTCTCTGTCTGCAAAAGAGTTTATCACGTTTTCTAATTAAACGTTTGATGTGAATATCAATCCAGGGTAGCTTGTTCTTTCCTCTGATCCTTATAGATGGTACAAAAGCTGATAAACCCTCGGAGATTTTTTTTTTTGAATTCATTCCATAAATAATCAGTGTTTGTATATGCATGTACATTCATGAGAACTTGATCTTTATACTGAGCAATATGATGTCTAAACCCATCCCAGTCTGCTTTTTTGTACAGTTGGACATTTCTAGGCTTGATTTTGCTTAACTGCGGTTTTTATGTTTGACTCTGTGTACACAATATCATGATCTATGGCACGTCAAATTCACAAAAATGAGCAAAACATAGTTTCACAGTCGATAAACTAGGTTTATCGGTTGTAAACTATAGATTACTGACTGTAAACTATAGTTAACAACGTTAATCTATATTTTACATCTGTAAACTATAGTTAACGCGATAATCTATGTTTCACAACCGTATACTATACTTAACACCAAAAACAATCATTTGCGATTGCAAAACATAGATTATCTGATAAATACAGTTTCACGATTGTAAACCATGGATTACAACTCTTAACTATAGTTAACGATCGTAAATTATAGTTTACAGACGTGAATCTATGTTTATCAACAAAATCTTTTGATTATCTGATACATCGACATCGTTGTCGTTTTATTACAGACAGATAAACTTATATTAGCATTCGTAAACTATAGTTAAAAACCGATGAATATAGTTTTACAGATGAAAACTATACTTAACGAATTGTAAACTATAGTTCACGATTTATAAACTATAGTTTATAGTCGATAAACCTAGTTTATCAATACGTTCTAGTTTCACTATTGAAGAGTTATAGTTCTTGGTGCGCTCTTTTGTGAAAAAGTCGGGGAATGTACAAATCTCGCGGGATTTCTGGGACAAACGTAACATAAACATGTAAACAACACGTTGAATGTCGATGAACAAATCCTAACAAAATGCATATGAAATATTTTATTGTTGTGGACTTTATTTAAATCAAGAGGAGAGATGAAAAGGATATTAATTTACATCTATTGGTGATCGTATGTATATTTATTTATCGTAATGGTACATTTTAAGTCAATACACATACCTCGGAAATGTCGTATTTTTATTGATGGACGATAAAGTTAGGGGTTTCACTCTTTTTCATATGTCTTTTAGTTGTTCTATTCTTTAGTTAGACTGACACATGCACTTAACATTTAAAATTGGATTGATACCGGCATGTTTTGTATTATCCGCAATGTCATACTGTCCCAGTCAGACGACCAAACGCGCCTCTAATTCTGAAGAGTTCACTAATGGAAATACAACGTATTAAGCTAAGTATTAAACTAAGTTTAGCACGCCAAATTCACAAAAATGTGCAAAACATAGTTTCACAGTCGATAAACTAGGTTTATCGGTTGTAAACTATAGTTTACCGACTGTAAACTATAGTTAACAACGTTAATCTATATTTTACATTTGTAAACCATAGTTAACGCGATAATCTATGTTTCACAACCATAAATTATACTTAACACCCAAAACAATCATTTGCGATTGCAAAACATAGATTATCTGATAAATACAGTTTCACGATTTGTAAACTATGGTTTACAACTCTTAACTGTAGTGAACGATCGTAAATTATAGTTAACAGACGTGAATCTATGTTTAGCAACAAAATATATGGTTAACGTTTTATTAAAGACAGATAAACTTAAATTAACATATATAAACTAATAGGTAACAACTGTTATTAGTTAAATATAGTTTTACAGATGAAAACTATAGTTAACGAATTGTAAACTATAGTTCACGGTTTGTAAACTATAGTTTACAGTCGATAAACCTAGTTTATCAATTGTGAAACTAGGTTTAGCTCATTTTTGTGAATTTGGCGTGCCATAATGATTACTTAACCCAGGTAAGGGGGCACTTTACTTACCAGAGTTGGGCGATTTGTCAAATACAAATCAAGGGTGTTTTCACCTCTAGTAGGTTAGAAGTCTACCATTTGCTGTAGATTATTGTCTTGCACACTCATATATAAAGCTGTGTTTCTACAACTAGTTTCAATGTTATTTCTTACCCAATCATACTTCGGCATATTAAAGTCACCCATTAGCCAGATTGTGCCACCTTTATGAGCAAACTTGGATAGTGAGATTCTCGGCTTGACTAAGTTTTTTTCATCTGCTTCCTCTGGTTTGTAATATGCACCTACATATAATGATTTGCCACCATGCAAAAACAGCTTTGACCCATAACAACTCACAGTCAGTTTCCAGCTCAGAGGCTCTTGATGCTGTAAACTGTGTACGAAAAAGTATAAATATGCCTCCCCCTCTGGTTGTAACTCTGTTCCTACGGAATACAGTATACATATAACCGATGTCTGCTGGAAATACCTCACTGTCAGCTATATCAGGTGTCAACCATGATTCAGTACCTATTACAATATCGTGGGAAACAATAACTATAAGATTTTGGAACTCACCTTTTTTTTTAATTACAGATAGACCTACAGTTGATATTTAAGGTCTTTAGCCCTCTACCGACATTGTCCTTACTCCTGGTACTTTGTTTTCGATTGTTCTTTTTTGGTGTCGATGTGATTTGTGGTGGACTGGATGGTAGGTCCATTCTAGTTTCAGAAATTTCTTGACCGGGGGGGGGGGGGCATTCTAGGTAATTAAAGGAGAATAGGCCACTGCTGAAGTTTGGCATACCTCACTGAAAACATACATGTTCCCATGAACAGTTTGAGTTGTCAAGGCCTTCATAAACCTTTTTGTCTATATTTTGACAGGAGGCATGAAACCATGCATCACAAGAGTCACAACAGACCCCTTGGTGGCTCCAAGATATCTCTTGATTACATGTACCACAATGATATCCTGGACCAGTGTTAAGTTCAACATCACATGCCAAAACAATGAGCAAAAGACTCAAATAATTTGTATTATACTTAGCTCTGTTGGCCTAGGTAGGATACTGATGGGCATTCCCTGCCAGGTTTGAGGAAGCTTTGATAACGGAAACATTAAGACAACTTCTGGTTAGAATGATTTGAAACGAAACAGTCCATAATAGTTTTATTTTCCTTAAGAATCAAATTATCAGTTGGATAGAGTAGAAAATAGTAATCAAACCTCTTGTGTTCGCTTAATCTGCTCTGATTCCATACTTTCAAAACAAGTCAACAGACAACTTTGACGTCATCGTTAGAATTTATTATTTACCAATCCCGCATATTTAGCAATTGTATATTTTATTTATATATTTTATAGATATATAAATTCCGTATGCAGGTGGTGAAGGTATATTGCTGCAAGGAAAGTTGACGATTGTAAAGTTAAAGGCATCACGTTTATCATAGAGCTTGGTTGTTAGATTACCATTAATTTCTTTTTCAAGTTAGATATCTAAATATGAAACAGATTAGTCAGACTCTGGGGTATCTTTTATTTCAAGCTCACCGGGATATATCGTATCGACATAAGAATGAATTGATCGATTGATTGATTGTATATTGTTTAATGTCCCTGTCGAGAATTTTTCACTCTTATGGAGACGCCACCACGTGCTGGTGGAGAGCTACAATTTTTTTCCCTAAAATCGGCATTCAGGGCCATTGAGCAATGAGGAATCTTTTTCTTGCCAGCACCTACTGCCACACGGGGCCTCGGTTTATATGGTCTCATCCAAAGGACCAGTCTCCACGTCCCACAGTGGGATTCAAACCCGCGACGTAAGGATCAACTCCTTCCTTCGGGACTCTAGAGCAAACGCTCTTACTACTGTGCCACGCAGGCGGCCATAAGAATGGAAGATACTTTTGATAATTGACACTACGTCGTAGATATATCTAAATTGGGAGTTGAAGGCCACAGCAAATGTTTTCTTCTTTTCAGATCTACCCCTGGCAACTGCAGGTTTTTACAGCCATATGCACAGAAGTGGGCAGGCATGGTGAAGTATTGAAACGAAAGAACCCAAAGACCAGGTCGATATCACATGTCGTAAAGGTAAACAATCAAAATGGCGGCTATACAGGTAAACTGGTATTTAAAGAAAGCAGTGGCCTTGCCCTACACAGTACTGCGCATGCGCTATCTCACGGAATAATGGGCAGGGTTTTTTTTTATTTAAGGCGCGTAATATAAGATTTTTGACAACTTCTGCATCATATGAACACAAAAATAGGTATGTTAATAACGCAGCGCAATCGGTACCCAATAGATTGTTGGAATGCTGGTCTCCAAAAACAACATCGAAACTCAGGCACATTTTTATGTCACCTTCAGAGTATTTGTGTGTACAATCAGAATGCTTTTTAACAAAATAATTTTGCATATGACAAATGACAAGGTACTAAATTTACGAGTTCTATTTTTATTGAAAAAGCAGCTGTCCATGATATCGAAAAGCCTGGACTTTAATTTAACGTGGGGAATGGTTGTGTATAAAGTTGAACAGATTTTAAGCTGTTCATTAAAGCGGGACTTTAATTTATAAGTTTTTAAAGATTTTTTTTGGTAAAATCTTGTGATTTCATATTGTCCAAAAGTTCCTGGGAATTTTTAAGTATCCTCATCTGATTTACACCACTTCTTGATGAATTTATTGTTGTACAGTGTTCTTGAAGTTTCTCCACTACTTTAAATATCTTAGTGAGGAGTAGAGAAAAAAAGGCTTGATTGTGCATTTAATGAAACCCGCTATGTATCTTTGACGTACGCATTGTACCGTACCTACTATTAAAATAAAGTTGTATTAAGGACAGATGCTGCGAACAAAAAAAATGGATGCCTGGATTGGTATATATTTCTGGGCCTATTTTGTTGCAATCGATGCAACTTAAATTTCCAAAATATTAAGAAATTGTAAACCTTCTAGGATGTTCAAAATTGTACCTTCTAGCAGTCATCCTTATTAATCTATGCAAAAATTTTTCACTTCCAATTCCATTTTTGTTTAAATGTTAACGAAAAATTAAACACTACGTGGTTAAACTTGTTCATTTACGCATTGAAACATGTCCAAGGCTGTTATTTTCAATTTTGACGACAAAAGTTTGTTTGTATCATCTGTCCTTAATAAGAAAATACCTTTGGCTTAATAATCGCTTGTGTATTTGTTTAATTTTTATTTCATGGTTAACTTATAAATCGTTTAGCATTAAATATATGCATCAAAAAAGTGACCAATTTAATATTTTTTTGTAAACCATTCTGGGTGTTATCCTGACCTCTGACAAAGTGACTCCAAATTAATTACAAAGGTGTTTTGCTTCCTAGACTTTCTTTTAAAAAAACCTATATGACACAATATAGTCAGACGGGGTGACAAGGTGATCACAAAACAGCATTCTTGGATTCTTGCTAATTTGAATTATTTTTTTTATTCAGGTGATACTCCGTATCCAGGCATGCGCAGTAGAAATGTACAAACTAAAGTGAGAAATGGTCATCGAATGAAGAGACCAGAGTTTGCATATAATTTGTAAGGCCAGGACATTTGTTTTAAAAATGCAATTGATAAAAATTGTATTCCTTTTCCTTTTACCTATTCCTTTGCTTTCTCTCCAAATAGCTTCTACGGAGTCATGACAAGATGCTGGAAGTCGAAGTCGAAACACAGACCCAGTTTTATTGATCTTTCTACTGAGATCGGGAACACCTTCAATGCTGCCCCCTCAGACGATTGCTACTGCTACTCCAAACAATAAAGAAGTCTACTACTACTCCAAACAATAAAGAAGTCTACTACTACTCCAAACAATAAAATCAGCTACAAATACATGCATTTTGTCTCGGGGTGTTTATTTAAGAAATTTTCAAATTTAAATTCACCATAATATGGACTCCCACTTATGAAAGAAGACTTCTCTAGAACATACCGGTAACATGTTTCATATAGAATGGGTGAAAAAAAGTGAGGAAAAAAAAATTTACAGTTATGAAACCTTTTATTAGCATTTTATTGTGAACTTTGAATTAACCTGTTGTGTATGAAATGACGAGATTTTATAGTCTCTGAAAACTTCTATCGACTGTCGTGTACATTTGATAAAATACATAACATATAAATCCGCATTCTATTGTAATTATTGAATTAATTTGTTGTGTATTAAATGACGAGATTTTATAGTGTAATGTGCAAGGGAGGTCACTGCCTGTGAACCCCCGCAGGCTCGTACCCGTGATAAAAACGGATAGCCTTGAGATGCTGCAAATATATACAATGCGCAGTCTTAATCACTTGGTACTGCGTTATATAAGGTCTTTACTGGTAGCGAACAAGTGACACTGGCAGGGAAGTCCACACACCAGCGCACATCCACAAGAGACAAGCAGGGATGACGCACACTCGCCCTTGCGCAGTGACAAGTAGGGATGACCGCACATGTGACACTACAGACACGGTTCTACACTAGAGACACTGGCAGGGATGTCCGCACACCAATGCTCTACCACAAGATGCAGGCAGGGATATCAACACACCTGATTTTGCGCAGCAACAAGCAGGGATGTCCTCACACTTGTTACTATTAGATGCCAATTACAGAGCAGGGATGACCACTCACTCTGTCAAGCAATAACACCGTATCCAACGGGTAACGCGGGGGAGTCGCTAAAAAGTATGGGGGAGTCGTTTTCAACGTATGGGGGAGTCGATTTTCACCGCTTCGGAGTCAGAAGCGATGTGGGTCACGTCTTTTTTCGGTATATGTAAGATGTATTTACAAAAAACAACTAGCCCACGGAAGGTAGCAATAGTTAAGCTTTCTGTTGGTCATTTGTCCGGCTAGCATATACGTCTAGTTTTCTCAAACACTTCGAAACTATTCAACTTCATATTTACGTTGATCGAGTGGTTAAGACATGCATATTTTGCACAATCTACGACTTGTGTAGGGATTATAACAGTTAAAACAGTAAAAGCAAACGTTAATCTTTCAAATACAACAATTGAAAGTTGGCTAGACTTAATGAAAATTAATAACTAGAAAAGAAACTCGTTGCGAGCAACGAGAGGTCTTCCGTCCGACTCTGAAAACCCCCCCGCAAAATCGAGATAAAAAAGGGATATCACTTTTTATTGAAACAAAGGGGATTGAACCCGGGTCGCCAGCGTGAAAATCGAAAGCACAAAGCACTTACTATTACGCTAAGGGATCACAGGTCTTCTTATACTTGTATAAACTTCTGCAACAGTACATCTGTATTAGAATAATGAAAGGTGGGTCTCTATACATAATTTTGAGTCAAACGCCATGAGAAAATCTTTGCGCCTTTTCATTGGAATGTTCTATTGAATAGGTGTGGTATCTTCAATGTAGAAAAGGAACGTTCTTATAGCTTAAATTTCAAGGTTAAGAAAGTATATTTAACACATTTACACATTCCATATCGTATATAGATAAGTAACACTAAATCAGTGAAACAACTATAATTTTTAATTTATTAAGTGAACTATCCCGATTACTTAAACTTTCATGAAAAGGTTGAAATGTTTCTGAAAAACATGTGTCGCCCTACCACTGTCAAGGAATCAGATACCATTTATGTTCAATAACTTAAATCAGACTTAGAGACAAGAATGTTAATATATTTATTAATTCTGTCTTTCTATTAGTTTACTATGACACAAATGTGCATGAACAAAACAGTGCTTACGTTTAATACTTACAATACACATCGATATTGTTTCTTAAAAAACTATTACTTAAAACTATGATTTAGAATTTGTTTTCCGCAAAAAAACAAACGATACTAGGTATCGTATTTCATTTGCACATTTAGTCTTTTCTTTTTCTACTTTGAGAATCACCCAAAACCAATTGTAGAAGACGTTTGACTCAGAATTGCAACGTAACAACGACGTAACAATCCCAGTATTCCTTTACATTTCATTTATCCTTATTCTACTTTCGTTCAAGCAAACGCTCGGCTGACTCCGTAAACCCTGACTTGCGAAATGTCGGAGTAGACGGAGAGAGCCGCCATTTTGGACCCGCTTCAGATTTTTGAATGCTAATATCTAGAGTTTGGATTTATCAATATGCAAACAAATTATACAGTAAGCATAATAAGAAAGGTTTCTATTAACATTCTAAAAATAAATAAAAAATATTGAAAAACAAAAAAGTTAGAAAATACGGACTTTTTAATTTCGCTTCCGATAGCAACCGGAAGTAGTAACGACGCACAAAAAGGTGATTCCGCAAATCTAGAAGTGATCATCTATCATCTCTAATAAGTCTCCAGTTAATGTCTTAAGCCATTTTTGAAAAAAGGGGGAACAAAAATCCGTTTTAAAATCAGAAAACTGTCAATATCTTGGAACCGAAGGTGAGTATTCCAAACTTTCCTTGTCATGCCACAACTTCATATAATGACGCATAATTCCTGAAAGTTTCATTGAAAACCACTGAATAGTTATCGAGAAATCGCCTGCACAAAATTTTGGGGAAAAAAATAATAATAATAATAATAATAAGAAACAGTAGAATCACTAGAAGGTCTTCCGTGAAGACGGAAGACCTTAATTAAGACATTTTCTCTTCAGAAAGTAATGGTTACGTAGGGGGGAGTCGTTTCTGGAAAAACACAACGCATAGGGGAGTCGCAAAATATGAAAAAAAATATAGTTAAACGCATGACTTAATCTGGTGATGTTTTTAGTTTAAGAATACATGTGCAATTGGATTATATATCTTCGGAGTACATGTGCTTTGGGACAAGACCCTTCCCTAGCTCAGTATGTAATTTTCTTACACATCACAAAAATTCAAAAAGATAACGAACTCTCACTTTCAACAATGACAGCCTCTCCATATAAAAGAACAACCAGATTTATAATATGGAAAATGTCTTCATAATAGTATCAACCATTTTTTTTAATTAGAAAAGTGGAAATCTCTGGCGCGTCATTCCCGCCCCTTGACTTCTTTTTTGGGGGGGGGGGGGGTAAAAATTTTAAACTGGTATATGCTATGCTTTCAATTTGGTCGACATATAAATAATTTATTTTTCATTTATCATATAAACAAATCTTCAGGTACAAACGATGTATCTTAAATGAGAATATTTGGGATTATCTGGGGTTTACACTGTCAGTGCTATATGTATATATTCATAGACAGGGTTCGAGGGCAACATGCGTTTTTTCGGACAGAAGAACCAAACTGTTTGCCTGAGGTTGTTCGGCCGAAGGCAAAAGGGTCGATAAAAAGCATTTTTGTCCGAGAACAATCAATTAATGAATCGTTATATTGTTTATTACAGGCACGTAGCAACAGGGGGGGGGGGGGGGGGGGGGGGGGGGGGGGGGGGGGGGCAGGGGGCCTCCCCCCTACTTTTTTCCCCAACATTACCTTTACTATAGAAAATGTTCATTGAAAGGATGGTTGGCCCCCCCACTTTTTACCATAGTATAGTGGTATCAAGGAATTGTAGGAAAAAATTTAGAAGTGAAAGTAATTTGGCTTTAAAAATGTTGGCCACTTTCAAAAACGATGCTACGTGCCTGTATTATGATATTATCATGATGAAATTTTTTTCACGCGCTCTGCAGTTTAAACTTGGTCAATTCCGTAAAGTTATGACTTTGACCCCGCCCACACTCATGACACTGTGAAGTAAGCGGTGCCATAGCTCATCGACAGGTCCAACATCTCACTCCACTGTCCAACAGCGATTTATTTGACTGCTCAGGAAAACAGTAGAAAGGCTTTAAATTTTTTTAGGTATAGTTTTTCTTACAAAAACAATTTTTCATAAGTACGAAAAAATGAATTATAAACAACTTATCTGAAAAATTTTGACAAGCAAAAAAAAAGGGTTGGAAGAAGAATCATGTTACAACAGGATTTCTCAACCAAATTTTATTAACACATTTGCTAATATAACTATGATTTAACTATTCTGCACGAAAACGCTGGAAGACCTTTCAAACGTGCCTGTTTCGTGCAATGTATTTCAGAATTGTTATTATGGGTAAGGGCAGGGTCTGAAGTTCTAATTTTAATAAGAGCTAGGCTATAAAAATTCACCAAGAAAACTAGAGGTACTGTGAGCAATGAGCTCATTAATGATATCCCCCCCCTTCCCATGCCATAATGGCAAAGTTCAAGTTTTGCTGTGACCGGGAAACCCAAAATATGTGTCAGATCAAAAAGTAAAATAGGAGGTCACCCGGGGCGGATACAGGAATTGACGTTGGGGGTAATAACGTCGGCGGGGTGGGGGCTGGGGACCAAGGGGCAAAGCCCCCGGAAGCTCCTGGATTCTAGAGATTTCGTAGGGTAAAAATGAGGTCTACCGAGTAGACAATTTTTACATTTTCTAGACTAAACTATGATTTACGCTAATTTTGGCAATTTTAGGGCCGCCCCCAGTGCACAATGGCAATATGTAGTAAAGTTTCTGTGAAAGTTTCATTAAATTTCACTCAGTGGTATAAGAGGAGTTGCGGATAAGAGATGGGTAGCCCAAAGCGTAACAGACAGACGGACGGACGTACAGACATTTTAAAACTACCTAACGCTTTTTAATTTAAAATGCTGATAATTTTGAAATATGCCACTTCTCATCAGTGCAGAAACCATATCAAATGACATGTAGCAATGTATATGAAGTACTGGTATATACTCATGCACTTCATGTTTTTATTTTTACATGTACATATTGCTTATATTGATCTTTATTCATATTGCATTTTAATAAAATTATAAAGTTATCAAAATAGTTATGTACGGAAGCATTTAGCAAAAGAAAAGACATTTAAAATAAAAGTACAATTCAATTTTGCGACTCCCCTATGCGTTGTGTTTTTCCAGAAATGACTCCCCCCTACGTAACCATTACTGTCTGAAGAGAAAATGTCTTAATTATTAATTTTCATTAAGTCTACCCAAATTTCAATTGTTGCATTTGAAAGATTAACGTTTGCTTTTGCTGTTTTATCTGTTATAATCCCTATACAAGTCGTAGATTGTGCACACTATGCATGTTTTAACCACTCGATCAACGTAAATATGAAATCTGTCGAATAGTTTCGAAGTGTTTGTGAAAACTAGGCGTATATGC